AGCACCCGCTTGTGAGTCTCCATTACTTGCACCTCCAGCTCTTCCGCCCTATCCCACCAGCCTTTGTTCCAATACGTCGACGCCAGGTTGCCCATGCTAGCCAGCGTGTTTAGATGCTCTGGGCCTAGCACCTGCTTTTGAGTCTCCATTACTTGCACCTGCAGCTCTTCCGCCCTATCCCACCAACCTTTGTTCCAATACGTTAACGCCAGGTTGCCCATGCTAGTTAGCGTGTCTGGATGCTCTAGGCCCAGCACCCGCTTACGAGTCTCCATTACTTGCACGTTTAACTCTTCAGCCTTGTTCCACTGGCCATTCTCCTTGTACGTCAACGCCTGGTTGCTCATACTAGCTAGCGTGTCCGGATGCTCGGGCCCAAGCAACCGCTTGCGAGTCTCCGTCACTCGCGAAAAAGCCTTCTCCGCCTCATTCCACCGCCCGTCCTCGTACAGACACAGCCCCAGTTTCCACAGCAAACTAGTTCTGGCCTCGTCATCATCGCCGGTAACACCGCTGTCTAACGCGTAGCTAGCATGTGCTAGATACTTTCTCCACGTCGTCCTATTCTGAGGTTCGTCGTCCGGAAACACTTCGCTGAGTCGCAAAATAGCTCGCTCCGTTGACTGCGCGAGCAACTCTTCCTTCCGCAGCCAGTTCCGGGTCGCTAAATGCACTAGCCGATGAAGATCGAGGCACTCGTCGGCCGGTCCTATATGAACAAAAGAATACGCCGTGAGTATACCGATTGCATCTACTTCCTTCTTCCGCGACACTCCTGGTGGAAGAAGAGACTGCGGAATGTCCTTTGGCTCAATACAGGCCATGAGCGACAAGTAATCGGCCGCCAGCCTATCGCGCTGCCGGATTTGGTCAAAAGAAATCAGCCATGTCGTGGCTACCGGATTATTGATGTCGCGATACCTCCAGTCGTCTTCAAAGTCCTCGCTGAGAAGATCAATAACCTCCTCTTCCTGTTCGGCCAGGAGCGACAGATAGTCCGCGAGCGATATCGCATTCTCGTTGATGTACGCCGCTGCCTGAACAATGGCTAGCGGAAGGAAGGTGAGCTGCGAAAGCAGTGCGCTTGTTTCTTGTCCATGGTGAACGAGACCCGGGTTGATCAGGCACTTCCCTAGCAGTTCGGCAGCCGCATCTTCTCCCATGGCCGGAACGTCCACCACGTTCGGTTGCGCGAGCTTGACTGCTATCTTCCTATCGCGCGTCGTGAACACGACGGTTCCTTGCTTGCTCTTCGGGAGGTAGTCGACTAGAGGGCGCGGTCCATGCCCAGGCTGCTGGCCAGCAGTCTTAGGGATCCACATGTCCAGGTCGTCGGCGTTGTCGAACACTAGCAGCCACTGCCCTGTGCTTTCTTTGCTTAGATGTGCCTGTACCAGTCTCTTCACGTCTGCCTTGTCATCTTCACCCCCGGGTATACCCAGCTGCCGGGAAACGTCCAGGTAAGATTGGTGCAGGCTTTCCACGTTGACTGCGGAAATCCAGATGAACGAGCAGTGCTTCTGCTTGTCGGCGACACGGTACAGCAGTTCGGTGACTAGCTGGGTCTTTCCTACACCTCCGAGACCGGTAATGGCGAGCTTCGCGGCATGATGCGTGCCGAACAGCATCTCTTCGAGCCGAGTCAGCTCAGGTTCGCGGCCGGTGAAGCGGGGGTTCCGCTCGAACGGCACGAGCCATGCTAGATCTACGAGAGGCGTCTTTGGCTGCTTGGAGGAGGATAGTTTTAGTTGATCCTGGAAGAGCGCGCTCAGCTGCTGGTTTTCGGAGTACTTCTCGAGCTCCCGAAAGAGCCGCCGAAATGCATGATGCTCGCCCTCGCCGTAGATGGCTTCCATGTGGATATCGAAGATTCCAAGCAGAGAGTACACTTTGTCTTCGGGTCGCTTGGTTGATCTGTTTGCTGCCCACGACATGCGCTCGTCGGTAGGAAAGTGAGGCAGCGGCTCCCCTCGAAGCGCATGGACAGAAATGCCGGTAACCTGGTGAATCTGCTTCTCTAGCGACTTTCTGTCCCCGAGCCGCTCACGCTGTTGCGAGAAAAATTCGACGCATCGGGGAGCAATGAGCTCTTGCAGCGTCCAGCCTCGAGTGAACCACCGACTGTTCCGCAGCTGGGAGTCTCTGTCGCCCTCGCTCGTAGGAGTCGAGACATCTGCAAGGAAAACATAGCACTTGGCGGCATTCTGGTACCACCGGAACATGGAGTTGATGCTTTCAGTAAGCTCGGCGGCGCTTGTCTTGTCGATGCAGCAGGTGTCTATCCAGCAGTAGTCCAGCCGGTCGTTCTTGGCTTGGGCGGCGCAGAAGCGGAGCTTGTCGTAGCCAGCCTTGGCGCTTCCGGTGCCGTCTACGATGTCCTTGTACGTGACTTCATCGCCGTCGCGTCCCCAGGTGTGCGAGAGTATGGCGTAGCGAGGGGCCTCGTCTTCGGCAAAGTCGGCCAGGCTGAAGCTGGGGCCGTCGTCGAGTCGTAGAAGGCGCATTGTCACACTGGATGTACCGGTTAGAAGGCGTGGGCCCCACAAGCACGATTATTTGAGCCACGACACCGGAGCCGATCGGACTGGAGACGAACAGGCGGAGGTGTCCGCAGGCACTTGAGGTTGGGATGTCTTGGGGACATGCTGGGCTGAAGGCAGGCGAGAGATCAGAAGATGCGTGGCCGCCAAGCTCAGCAACGGCACAAATTCCCTCCGACGATGAACGAGCTGCCAGCCTCTCGACATCGCGACTTTCTGCCGCAGCTGCTGAGATGTGCGTGTTAAACGCACCATTTGATACGCTTCCTGTGCCTCCTTTGCGCCGAAAATGCGACGAAAGCTCATCTCTACCATCTAGCAGCAGGCCACGAAGGACTGCCTGCATTCCTGTCCATCAATGCGATCCATCTTCTCGTAGGAAAACCGAGCAGTATTTTCCCATCCCTCGTACGGCAATCTCGTCCTCCGTGCCTTGTTGGCCTTCGCTCCCGCTGGCGCAGGGCCTCTGGGCTTTCGACCACGCTTGCCTCGAAACCGCCGCAGCTTCTTTCGCAGCGCGATTCGCCCGTTCCTCCTCAATGACCTCGTAACTCATAACTTTCGCCTTCCCTACTATCGCTGCCCTGGTCGATCGGCGAACTTTGGCTTCGTCGTTCTCTTTGAACAAGAGTCGATATTCATCCGCAAGCGGGGGACGCTCGTTAAGGGACATCTAGGCGGCGTTGGCGAAGTTCCAGGCGCATGGCTGTCCTGTTCAGTCATGCCATGCAGCGGCGTCAAAGCCTCTGCTGTCACCAATGTCTGAACACCTCGTCTTGCAGATTCACCTTGTCGGCTTTCCCAACGGTTAGCTCAGCGGGGCCCTTCTGGATATCTCTGAGGACTGTCTGGGTTGAACGGAAACAAGCCGGCCTTGGTCTATCCGGCTTTGATGTTCCTAGGTGTGAGTGCCTTTTCCCTTGCAGGACTGTAGAGAGATGCAGAACGCTCCTTGCCAACGGTGTTTGCCCCGCCTCAGTACAGCCATTCAACCTTATCCTGATAGGCTGCCTTTAGTGAACCAAGCACTCCAATATCTGGATCGAAGAATCTAGGCAAGGAGTGGAATCAGAAGGTCAGATAACCCAACCCGGCAGACCTTGCTTTCACAACGCACAATCGCCACTCTATGAAGTGCAAGATTGCGCATCGAGGGAAGGAGTTCTCACACGGAAGTCACCAGATACGATGAGCGCAAGAAAAGGGGATGACTCGTGGAGAACATGGAAAAAGGCAGCTTTCCTGACGACATTGCAGACCGGCGCTAGTCCCTGAGCTCGAACCTAGAAAAGGAACAAATGCGACGAATGCGACACAACAGGATGAAAATAGTACCTACACCTGTCTAAAATCCCCGTTTCCCGATCGGACGACTACGCAAGGGGTTCAGCGTAGTCAAGATATCCATCCGCCCTCAGCCTAGTCCCTTAGCTCAAACCCGCCAGCCCCTGGGACACTCTCGTATACTCACGCCAACAACGTCACCAAGGCCAAACTCCATTCCAAGCTTTCCGCATCATCCCTCCTCCTCGCGCCACCCACGTTGCTGTGTAACACTCTCCCTCGTGTTCCCAGACAAGCACCCGCCAATCAATCCACCACGAAGCTTACCCTCGGACCGTCCCGCATCCCTTAATCCCCGATACGGGCACCCCTTCATAAAACGCACGTCATTGGGCTTCGCCGATTAAACAAGTCTGCCCGCGCGAATGTTTGTTTGAGCGCGCGGAACCCACCGACCTACTCTTTCGGGAAAGGATGTTTCGCTGCGTTTCGAAGGTGTGGTTCCACGGACCTTCTGGATTGGGGCGACGATCGCAGCCCACCTGGCGATAAAGTCCGAGGGACACGAGAGGATACGAAGGGTGGGCGGAAATAGCGGCAGGCAAGAGGAGAAAAAGAGGAAAATGGACGGGTAGGGTACACATGGTGGAGGCATAGTGTGTGATTTGGAGAGGTAGAGGAGTAGGGAGATGGAGATCGTCGTCTGTGCTCGCTAACCCTTGGGCTACACACAATGCCAGCCAACCCGCCCATGTATCCCCCAGAGCTCCATGTATATAAGGTACGCGATGCTCTCGCATCTCTGCTCTACCCACCACTCAATCCCAATCCAATCCAACACCTACGACAATGAAGCTCCTTTCCCTGCTCCCGGTCATCGCGGGCACCGCCCAAGCCGCCGTCCAAGGCTTCGACATCTCGCACTACCAGAGCTCCGTTGACTTCGCCGGCGCCTACAGCTCGGGCATGCGCTTCGTCTACATCAAGGCGACCGAAGGCACGACCTACACCGACCCCAAATTCTCTTCGCACTACACCGGTGCTACTAACGCCGGCTTCATCCGAGGCGGATATCACTTCGCACGCCCTACCTCTTCCTCCGGCGCCGCGCAGGCGCAGTACTTCGTCGCCCACGGCGGCGGCTGGTCCGGCGATGGCATCACACTTCCCGGAATGCTGGATCTCGAAGGCGATTGCGCGGGCCTCTCTACGTCCAGCATGGTGAGCTGGATTTCCAACTTCAGCAACGAGTACCATTCTTTGACGGGACGCTATCCTGTCATTTACACGACGAACTCTTGGTGGACCTCCTGCACGGGTAACAGCGGATCCTTCCACGATACGTCGCCGCTTATGCTGGCCCGTTGGGGTAGCTCGGCTGGTACGATTCCGGGAGGTTGGCCGTACTATACGATCTGGCAGTACAAGGACAGCAATGCGTATGGCGGGGATTCGGATGTATTCAATGGCGATGCGACGCAGTTGAAGAAGCTTGCTACAGGCTGATTGGATTGGATGCAAAGGCCTAGCCCGGTGTCCTCGGTAGTCAGAATACATTCGTTCATGCGGTTTTATGTGCTTAGCCCTAGACTGCCCTCCCCATATCCCGCTCGTCATCTTTACTCTTCCTGCCATCGCTGCTCTCGTCATCGTCTGAGTCACTGAGTAGGCCATCCCATGCATTCTCGTCAACGGAATCCGCGTCCTCCTCTTTGTCCGCGTCTCTGTCAACTTTGACATTGACAAACAAAACCCATAATCCGAGGTCATATGAAACCCTACAAATCCCTGTTGCAACGAAAGCAGCCCAGAACCTGTCGTTGCCCGCCAGAATGCCGGTGATGGAAGGCCCGACGCTCATCGACAGGGTTCTGAGCATCGATGTGATACCCATGGCGCCCGTTCGCTCTTCAGGTTTGACGACCGCCGCAATGAAAGCTGTGCGTGGGGCCTGGTCCATCGAGTTCAGGGCTGCGCGGAATAGGAGGAGGCCGACTGTCCACCCAACGCTGCTTGGTAGTGGAATGAACGCGCTTGCGATAGAACTTGGCAAATGAGTGAAAACCATGGTATTGATAAGTCCAATATGCTTCGATAGCGGTCCCGCGAAAATCGAGCTAACAGCGCAAAGGAACTGACTCGCGGAGGTGATGTCGCCCAGCGTGGATTTGCTGAGATGGAACTTCTGATCGACGTAATAATTCATAAGCGAATATGGAGTCATGCCATCGGCAAGGGAGTCGACGGCGAGCAGGATCCAGAGCTTGTACATTATGTTGCGAGTCGGCTTCGAAATCTGGCTGAAGTATGACTGCTTTTGCTTCTGCTGGGCCCGGATATTTTGCGATCTCTGGGCTTCATTCTCAGGCTCACGGCCAAAGCCATCGGTCGTGGAAGGCGTCATAGCCTCTAGCAGCACCTCCTCTTCTTCGCCATCTCCGCCTCCTCGCCCTCTCTCTTTCATCTCAGATCGCTTCTCGCCCGCAGCTTCGCATCTCTTGCTGAGCCCCAAACACAGTATGAAGCCGACCAGCCCGAAGCCTGTATATCCCCAGAAGAGGACGTGGTATGCTTTCTTGACATCCCCGCTGCTTCTCTCGACCCACTGAACGACGCGGCCTGCTGCTTCCGAACCAATCGCTCCCGCCATCGTAGTAGCAGTAACGTACCAAGCCAACACATCACTCCTCGTCCGCTCATCCGTAAGTCCGCTCAGCACACTCTCCTCCACCGCTCTGAACGGTCCGCAGTCGGCGCCCGTAACACTGATCACGCCAAATACCGCTGCGACAAGAAGGATCCAGAAATTCTCGCTCAAGGCAAACGCAGTACCTGAGACCATCATCATCGCACTCCCGAAAAGCAGTATCTTCCTCCTGCCTATCTTATCCGCAACGAGCGTCAGGAACAGGGAGAGGACGACATCGCCGAGAAGCGTTAGCGTCATGAAGGCTCCGATACGCGTGTCCGGGAAGTGCAGGGAGGAGAAGAAGAGCGCCAAAATGAGAGAGGGGATGCCAGCGCTGAACATGCGCAGAGAACGGAGCGTGATAATGAGGTAGGCATCAAGGCCCGTGGCGTGGAGGGAGTGGACGCCTAAGAAGTGGGCAAAGCGGGAGAGGACAGTGGGGGCCATCATGAGCTGATACGATGCGGGGTTTTCGCATCGGTAGCCCAAACGCGGGCACACGACTCTATCTCATGAACAGGTGGATGGAAGATGCAGAAGATAATAAGAAAGATGAAGCAAAGAGTTGAGAAGGAAGAAAGATTCAGGACATCTGCAGGGCGATCCAGTAGACGCCATCGGCGATAAGCTCTCACTACTGCACATTCTAGCCTTCACGCGGATTAGCCCTTACCACCATACCAACTTTGTCTTGGTTTATCGAGCGTCTTTCTTATGGTTGGTGTATCTTCATGTTAAAGCCGACATTGTTCCCGGTGGTGTGCGAGATCGGAAGGATTTTGAGACCGAAGTACCCCGCAGTGAGAGGCTAACCGATTACGTTATAAACTTAGAAACCATGTGCTTTACATCGAATCTTAGAATTAAATTTATATCTGCTCTTTATTTTCTTAACTCTTCTCTCTAACGTACTTCACGGGCGAAAGCCTTACACGGGCGAACCCCCCACGATTTCTTGGCAAGGAAAATCAACGAAAATCAACCCGTTTTTCTTAAATAACTAAGCAAAACTTTAATATTTTTCTATATAAAAATTTATATATATATTCTTTATAGTATATTACACCTGCTACTAAAGTTGCACTAAGATATATTACGTAATTTAAAAGCTATACATATTTAACTAACTTTTAAGAAAAGATCTACTTTTCTTCTAGTAAGTACTATTATATCTCTATAATAATCTATAAAACTTATAGTATATAGTATTTATAACCTAATAAAGGTTTCTAGAAAACTTCTATAGAGCTAGCTCTTCTAGGTATAGCGTAATAAGAGATAGAAGTTAGAAAAATATCTTCTTTAGAGTTTTCTCTTCTAACTATATATATATATAGTTAATCTAGCTATAAATCTTATTATTATATAAATTATAGTAGACTTTAATTATATAGAGCTTATTAACTAATAATATACTAGCTTTAAGTAGTTATTTAAAAGTAAAGCCTTTTTATAGTATAGTATAAAAAGATAGAAATATACTAAACCTATCTTAAAATTATTACTTCTAAATATATAGAAGACTTATAAAATATATTAGCTTATAATATATAACTTTATATAGCTAGATTATTAATATATATCTATAGTTAGAGAAGAAAAGTCTAAAAAGAGTTTTTTAAACTTCTATCTCTTATTACGCTATACCTAGAAGAGCTAGCTCTATAGAAGTTTTATAGATTATTATAGAGATATAATACTACTAACTAGAAGTAAACTAGATTTTTCTTAAAAGTTAGTTAAATACGTATAGCTTTTTAATTACGTAATATATCTTAGTATAACTTTAGTATAAAGTATAATATACTATAAAGAATATATATATAAATTTTTATAGAAAAGTATTAAGGTTTCGCTTAGTTATTTAAGAAAATCTTGTAGATTCTTGTTAATTTTTCTTGCTAAGAAATTGTAGAGAGTTTAGTAATATAGAGAGTTTAGTAATAAAGTATATTAAGCTTATAGAAATTAAGTAAAAGCTCTCTACTACGTATTATCTATAAACTAATAGAAATATAGAGATTATTAATTAATATCTTAACTAGTATCTATAACATACTTTAATATAACTATATCTACTAGACTTATCTCTTAGTAGTCTATAGTAGAGAAGGTAGAGTAGTAGTTAAGGTAGCTACTAGTATCTAAAAACTAGATAAGAAAGAAATCTAGATAGCTACGTATATAGACCTACACTCTAAAAAAGAAACTAGCTAAATAGTAATACCTAAACTAGTTAAAGAAGTATATAGTAAAGTATATTATACTAAACTATAGAATTAGTATACTATTAGATACTAGTACTATTAGAAATAATATTAAACTATAGAATAGGTAGTCTATTATTCTAACTACTATACGCTTAACTATAGATAGTATTTCTTAGAATAGAAATATCTATACTATAGTAAGAAAACTAAAAATAAATATATAAAACTCTATTAGACTATATACTTACTAGAATAATATCTAGTATACCTAGTAGAAAAGAAATAAAGGTTAGTACTAGCTACTCTTTTAAAGTTAAAAAACTAGTAGGTCTTTAGACTAGAGGTCTAGCCTAGAAAGGCTCTATTTATAATAGTCTAGTTTAGAATTTACCTTAGGTTACATAACCTTAGGTTACGTAATTCTATTACGTAACCTAGCCTAGCGCCTTAGCGCTCGGCATCTTTGTATATAGAGCCTCTAGAAGTAGCCTTCTACTTCTTACCTTTAGATAGCTAAATTTAACCTAACCTACTCTGCTAGCACCTCTTATTCTTACAGCTTGTAGAGATAGTGCTACCTGTAGCTAACTTACCTAGCTAGGTGTTTAGGGACGCTTATAGTAGTAGAGACTGCAGACCTAGCCCTTATATTATCTAAAGGTTAATACCTCTTTAGCTAGAGACGGCGGTATAATATCTAGCTAAACTAAGTAGCCTTATTAAGAAGCGTTTACTAATAGCTAATACTAAGAATTAGAGCTACAAGAGCCTAGTCGCTTATCTAGAGAATTGTAGCTACAAGAGCTCTAATTACTTATCTCTTTAGTACTGTATAAGACTACTAGTAGATCTAGTTAGTAGTAGAAAGATACTAGCACTAAGCTAAAGAGAGCTATTAAGAGCTCTATATATAGAAGAACTTCTATAGAACTTCTACGTGTAGAAACTCTCTCTTCTCCTCCCCCCTTTTACAAATTACGAAAAATTAATAATTCTCTACTCTACTAGCAGAGCTAACAACTCGCTGCCCTACTAGCAGCTAAATACCTCTCCCCTTTGCCTCTTTCTTAATTAAAAAGCCGAACAAATCTGAACACTATAGAAGAACTCTCGCGAAGCTAATCTAGAGGCAGGACCTTAGCTCTATAATATCTCTTTACTCTAATAGTTCTTAAATCTAGAGTAGTAAACCTACTAGTAGAATATACTAATTAATATTTCTATTATAAAAACTCTGTTTAGTAATACAACGCGATAACTAATAAGAATTAGAATAATAACTTTAACTAGAAGCTTATAAGGCTCTACTAGAGCTTAGTAATACTAGAGCTATTATTAGTCTTAGGTTTATATATACTCTCTACCTCTACTAAAGAGCTTTAAGAGCTCTTTCTAGAAACGCTAGCTAAAATTATTAATAAAATAGTTAGCTAATTATATATATAATAGGTATATAAATAATAAATCTATATATATTACTAGATTACTACTAACGCTCTTACTAAGAGAGATAATATATACGTGAGATATTAGATATAGGCTACTACTCTAGCTAAAAAAGACGCTAAAATCTAGTAACTATAAGCGTAATTAACCTACTCTAGAGACTAGATACTACCTGCTACGCTAGTTTAACGCGTGACGTGTTTCTCTATAATACTAATTATACGTGATTTAAGCGTGTTACTACTAGAGAATTTAATCTTAGGTTCTTACCTCTCTATATACTAGCTAGCTATACCTCTAGCGTTATAAGCGTATAAGAGCTAACTAACGCACTCTACTAAGTTTCTAGATCTACCTCTATTATTAGATAGTAAGAGTATTACCTTTAAGTAGTAGAGAGATAGCTTATATAATAAACTTTAAGTAAACTAGAATTAGTATACTAGAGATACGCTAGAGAATACTAAGAAAACTATTATTACCTATATCTATA